GAAATCCTTAAATAGACCTCCTCCACAAGCCCAGATGGTCATAAAAAAAATCCAGTACATACAACAGAATGGCTAAGATTAGAGTTACTATTATAATAATGCCTAATATACATTCCTGTTTCATTCACAAATATGGCTCCTGGAAAAAAAAGAAACAGATTATGGTGAATGGTAATGAAGGTTATGTGTCAATTATGATGAAAGATAATGAAGGTTATGTGCCAACTTGAAGGGTGGTTTTAGATAAGATTAACATTTAAATTGGTGAAACTGTGGAGCAGGTTACTCTCCATTATGTGAATGGGTTTCACACAATCAACTGAAGGCCTGAGTAGAATAAAAAGACCAGTGTCCCTGAACAAAAGGAAAGTATCCAAGAGACTGCCTTCAGATTTCATCAGTGACATGGAGGAGCTCTGCCAGGATCTTAGGCCTGCTGCTGCACAGTGCACTTTTGGACTTGCCAATCTCCAGAACTCAGTGAGCATGAACCATTTCCTTAGAGGAAGTCCCTACAATCTAGCATCACACACATTACAGTAGTTCTTTTTCTCTGGGGAACCAAAGTTTGTAGATTCCTACAAACTTATCAGTATTCTACAGCTTCTATATAATATATAAAGTCCTTAATAGAATATATCAATATAGTCACTGGTATATAATACTACACTATAGATTTGAAATGTGTTTTCCATTCAATCTACCAGGCAGGAGACTGTAAAATAGGACATTCATCTGGGATAGGAAACAATGCACAGTCATGACCATACCTTGAAACTATACACTTTTGCACTCTTATACAAAAAACAGTGGAAGGACTTGGTTGTATAAACATCCCAGAAAATATTATACCAATCTGCTATATTAATGACACATGTATTAGAACATCATGAGCATAAATTGTTAAGTAGTCAGGGTGTCCTGATAAGATACTTTAGCTCTACCAGCTGAAGTATATTTCTTTGTTATCACTTTAATATCTAAGTAACACATAGTAATATTGTTTTTCACACTAATGATATTTATTTTTCAATATTTTCTCTTTTTTCTTTCATTGCTCTAGCAATATGTTTATCAATTATATTGATGTGAACTCTAAGGAATTTTGAGGTATATCAGATACAACAGAATAAAAATGGAGACACTTGAATAATTTGAAGCCTATAAAATATTTGAAATGCTAACATATAGGAGTTTTACAAACAACCGATATTAAGCAACACATTCAAGATGCTCAGAGACCACACAGGATAAATATCAAGATGTCTACACTAGGATTATCCTAAGCAATCTGCAAATCTAAATATAAAGAGAGTATCCTTAAAGTTATCTCAGATATTTTTTTAAGAAATACTCACTTACACACGAGTAAGAATAGAAGTACATCAGACTTTTAATCATAAATGAGGCAAGCAAGAATATTGCACATAAAATATTTAAAATATTAAAAGTTAAAACATTAGAAATTTATATCACATGATAGCATTCTTAGGAATCAAAAATAAAATGAGTACTTTTCTCAAACAAACAACATTCTGGGTATTCATTGCTGGCATGTCTATGGAAATATTATTGAAAATATTCTGAAAGAAAAAGAAATACTAAAAAAAAATTAAAAGAAAATGATATAGGTCAGAAAACTTGGACCTACAAGAAGAAACAGCATCATAAAAGGACTAACTAGAGATAAAACAAAATGTTTACTTTCCTGATTCTTAACTGATCTAAGAAACAACAGTTTAAAGTAATCACAATAATAATTTACTGGATGAAAATAGCATATGAGTATATGTTCTGAGTGTCACAAAGAATGATTGAAAATGCTGTTAAAACCTACCTGTACTACATGTGAAGCAGTATAATTATTACCACTCAATATATTATTATTCAAAAGTGTTTTACATTAGTTATAAGTGTATATTTTAAATTCCAAGGAAACCACTGATTTTTGAAGCATATATAATTGACATGCAGGCAAAAAAATAAAATCTCCATTAAAACCTGAAAAGGCAGAAAATAGTACAATAAATAGAAATCCAGAATGGTAGCTAATAATCCAATTATATAAAATAACAATTTTAAATGTGCAAGGCCTAGATCAGTAATGGTAAGCCTTTTAGGGACAAGCTGTCAACTTATTGTCCACACTGCAATTAAACTTGAATGCCATGGTTTTAGTTTAGAAAAAAACAAATCATACATTAGCATCTTTTTTTCTTAAAAGAAAAATAAATAACAATTGTGCCATAAGTTACAGTGGTCTAGACACATCAGTTAAATACTAGCAACTGTGACCATGAATAAAAGCTAAAACCCAACTATAAGTTACAAGAATAATTAGAAATGATTCTGATTTTCTGCTACCTCTGCAAAAATAGAAGCAGAAGAAACTTTTTAACTCATTTCATGAGGCAAGCTTAACTCTAAAGAAAGCTATTTCTCATGAATGTAGATGTGAAAATTCTCAACAAAATATTAGCAAATCAAATTTGACAATGTATAAAAAGAATTTTACATTGAGATCAAATAAGATTTATTCCAGGTACAAAGCTATTTCAGCATCCAAAAAAGTAATTCATTGTATCAAGTGCTAAGAGGAAAACTTGTATGATCTTATCATCAAACGATACAGCCAAATTCTTGACAAAATCCAACACCTATTGATAGCAAAAATGTTCAGCAAACTGGGAATGGAGAATTTTATCACATGGATTAAGAAGATCTACAATAACCCTACAGTCAAGATTATAATTAATGGAGACAAATTGGACATTTTTTCTCTAAATTTAGGATTTAAAGGCAACTTAGCAAGATTCTACCTCCAAATTTAAAAAAAAAATTGAAAGGGATTGGGGATGTATATAGCTGAAAATGAAAGTCCTGAGCTACATTACAAGTACTGCAAAAAATGTTATGATAATAATAAAAATGGGAGAAGTTCCAAATTTATGTTGATACTTCAGTGTCAGTGATGGAGGGCTCTGCTCCTCTCTTTTTTTTTTTTTTTTTTTTTTTTGGTGACCTTTGGGCAATGACTTCAATTCTGATACAGCATAGAAAGGAATAGGTTATTAAGGAAAGAAACCGTACCATGGATAATCCTGACACACACTATCTCAGCCCAATGGCCAAGGTTACAATCAACTGTGGTAATTTATGATATATTTTATAAAACATGATTAAAATGGTATTTTACCCATGCAATCTTCTTTCTAAAAATCAATATCCTAGCCTGATTATAAGAAAAAAAGTCAGAAAAAATAAGTTGAGGGATATTCTGCAAAATTTCAAACTAGTACCCCTCAAAAATGCCCAGGTCATCAAAAACAACAAAACTCTGAAAAACTGTTACAGTCTTAAAGCCTTAAGATAAATAACAACTAAACACAATGTGACATCCCAGGTGAGACTGAAATAGCTTAAGAACATTAGGTAAAAAGGAAAGATTTCTGAACAAATTTCAAAATTTAGTTAATAATCTGCCAGTATTGTTTTGTTAATTATAACAAAACTACCACGCTAATGTTTGATGATAGCAATGGGGGAACCGGGCATGTAGTGCACAGGAATTCTCTGTATTAGCTTCTCAATTTTTCTAGAAACACAAAACTATTCTAAAAATTAGTCCATTAAAACAATAACAGCTACTTAAGTCTTCAAAGAAAGTTTGTAGATATTCTGGGTGTTTCTGATTATTTCTTCTTCTGACCTCTATTTTCCTAACCCAGTACTCAGTCTTACTGGTAGGATTTTTAGCCTACTTTCTCAGGATTAAGTAATGAGAACAAAATGACAAAGGCTAATACAAGGAGTGCTGTTACTCAATAGGAATTTTAAGAATACTTTGTGATGGGTGGACCACAGGGTGTGTGGAGATGGTAAGCAAGAGAGACCAGCTTGAAGCCTATTGCAATAGTTCAGGGGGAAATAACCTCAGGCTGAGCTTAGGAGGTATTGATAAGGGAAGCATGGAATTGATCCTAGTATCCTTACTCAGAAGATAAAAATGTGGTGAGTGTTGTGTGGGGTTGGGTGGACAGCAAGGAACTCTAAACACCATTCAAATCTATTAAATTTGAGCATCTATGGACACTTTATTAGGTATGTATGTGATATATCTTCCTGCCTGTGGTAGAATAGCTTTGAGTAAACTAAGAAAACCTACCCAAGATGATTTGGCTAGATTGCTTATGATTTAAAGGCAAGCAATTTGAAGAGTTCAAGACAGGACTTGTTCCAGGAGGAAGAGAGCTCCAAATCTGGATATGACTGGTGGAAATGGAAGATATAAAAATATGAAAGAGCCAGCATACAGGAGGAGGGAAACAGTTACAATGACTCCCAATCTATAGATCTCTATTTCTGCAGCCTGCTCAGAAATAGGAAGCCTGTTTTTGGCCTACAGAGTCTCTGTTCACCCAATATCTACTTCCCTTAATGATGTCATTTTTCTATCATAGACCAGTCCTGGAGCGTTACTTCTTGCTTTTCCCAGTTCTGTTTCTGCAGTTTTTGTAAAATATTCTTTAACTGAGTAGGCGATCCATTAGACTCTTGAAACTCGTGGGAAAAAGTAGACAAAAGTCCCTGGAAAAAGGGTGTGGCAGCAACTTGAAAGCCCCCTTGTATACACCCAGTTCCCTCCCCCATGTAAAGAGTTGAATTATACTGGGAAGTGTGTGGCTGAGTTCTGCTATGGGCTGGGATTGGGTTCTATATAGATTATACCAAACAGTGTCAGACTGAGACAGATATATCACCCTCCAGAATAACCTTTCCTCTCTTCATGGCTGGCAAGCATTACTTTCAGGTGTATATGTGAGTTTGCTTTTGTTTTTGTTTAGAATTTGTCTCTTTTTCAGAAGCTGTTGCATATGTTGACTAATTTGGGGAGTAAAAATAAAAGTCAAGATATTTGTCCTCCTTGAGGAATTAACCAAGAAAGTCAGCTATAGCCATTACCCTGAGAGACAGAGGGAAAAAAGCAAAAGTACAGAATCTCAGGATTTCCAGGATTTATTATGTATTATGTACACTTACACAGATTTAGCCACAATACTATGATGAAGTCAGAGTTACTATGGTAACAATAGTCTCAGACATAGTCTCTGATCACCTAGGGTTGGGATTGGGCTCCTTTGGGGTGAGTGCTGGATCATAACATCCTCTTTCCTAACACCATCAAAGAGACATGCAGAGGGCCAAGGTCAGGTAGATTCACAGGTGAAGGGAACATCCAGGGGAAAGTTGTGTCAGCAACTCTCTTTCCTTGTGTGGGATGGTCTGAGGGATACTAGGGTTGGTTTCTTAATTTTGGGTGGTCACTGCATCACCTGCTTCTACTATGTTTCTGGGTGGGGACAAAGACTTTGCTCCTTCACTGACTCAGTCTCTTGGACCTGCCCAAGAGTTGAGGCAGGAAAAGGTTGCTCCAGGTATTTCTCCTGCTGCTCCTGGTGCTTCAGTTGCTCATCTCTCTTTACTCGTTCTTGGTCCATTTGCTGGTCCAAAAGACTCTTCTCTTGTTCCACCTGTTTCTTTAGTTGCTCTTCCCTTTGTACTTTCTCTTGCTTGACCTGCTGCTCCAGCTTTTCTGTTTCCAGATACCCTTCGTGATCTCCCGGTTGCTCCTGCTGTGGTTCCTGCTTTGGCTCTGATTTCTGATGATGGTGGTGGTACTGCTGTCTCAAGCACACTTCATTGTCCTGGGGCTGGGGCTTCTCTCGTCGTCTCGGGTACAGCTCTGGTTCTTGTAGCTCTTCCTCTTGTCCCTGCTGCAACTCTGGTTCCTGTGGCTTCTCGAATTGTCCTAGGTGCAGCTCTGGTTCCTGTGGATTCTCCTGCTGCTCCAGGTTCTCCTCTGGCTCCTGTGGTTCCTGATGCTGTCCCAACTGCAGCTCGGGCTCTGGTGGTTTCTGTGGCTTCTGCTGTTGTTTCAGATGCAGTTCTTGTTTCTGAGGCTGCTGCTGCTGTGCCAAGTGAAGTTCCTGATTCTCTGGTTCCCGTGGCTTCTGCTGCTGTCCCAGATGCAGCTCTGGATCCTGTTCCTGTTTTTTTCCCAGATACAGCTCTGGCCCCTGTGGCTCCTGTTCCCCTTTTTGTCCCAGATTTAGCTCTGGCTCCTGTGGCTCCTCTTTCTGCTTTTTTCCCAGATGCAGCTCTGGCTCCTGTGGCTCCTGTTCCTGTTTTTTTCCCAGATGCAGCTCTGGCTCCTGTGGCTTCTGTTCCCTTTTTTGTCCCAGATTTAGCTCTGGCTCCTGTGGCTCCTGTTCTCTTTTTTGTCCCAGATTTAGCTCTGGCTCCTGTGGTTTCTGTGGCTGCTGTCCCAGATGCAGTTCTGGCTCCTGTGGCTCCTGTTCCTTTTTCTGTCCCAGACACAACTCTGGCTCCTGGGGATTCTGCTCAGGCTGCTTTCTCAAATGCAACTCCTCTGGCTCCTGCTTGTCTTCCAGGAGCAGCCTTGGTTCCTGGGACTTTTGTGACTGCAGGGGTACCAGGTGTAGCTCTGGTTCCTGTTGTTTATGCTCACATTCTTGTTCAGACAGCCCTTTGGCAAGGGTTGTGTGTTTGTCCTCATGCTTGGGGGACTTTTCCACTGAGAGCTCAGGTGACACCTTCTGGCATGGGTCAGGCAGTGAAGCTGCTTGCTTTATTTGCTCCTGCTGGATACTGGCTGGAGGAGAAACAGCCTTGAGGAACTGTTGATTGATAGCAACAGGTACAGTCACTGGCAGTGTGTGTTGCTGGGACATCTTAGTACCTGTTGTGGGTCAGTATGAATAGTAGGATGGTCAGAGGCTGAATACAAATGAAGTAAGTGAACCCCTTAAAATCTACAGCAGTGTCTGGTTTTTCAGCAGAGGCAGCAGAGAGTAAAGCGTAGAAATGGGAAGAGATAGAAAAAGGCCCTCTTGGCAGTCCTTTTGTTCTCAGGCAAGAGCCAACAAAGAGATCTCTTCCCATGGCTGCTTTGCAAGGGTGATCTGATACTATTTAATTTACCACTCTTACCTACTATTTGCCTGTGTCTTTATTCCTGATCTCCAGTCATGAAGGAGGGATAAATTCTAAGATTATGTCATAGCAAGTAGTAAGACCAAATGCCTTGAGTCCTAGAAAACCAATAACCTGTGCTAGAAGGGAACGAGAGGTCATGGCATCAAGTTTAGACAGGAGTCACCTGACGTATTCTGGACTAAGTCTGTCATTTAGCCTTTCTAAATCTCAGATTTCTTCTCTGTAAAATTAGCTGGTTGGCCTATCAACACTAGAGCTCCTTTTTTTCCTCACTTTCTGAACTTCAGCTATATCCCAAGAGCTTGGGGGAGAAAACAAGGGGAGCTAGCAGGCTGCTGAGAGTTGAAACTTAATGAAATAAGCCTTATACTTCAAAATTGTATACTCTTGTCCCTGTTCTGCTTAAGCTTATCCACATAAAAACACTCCCCATTCGATAATCCCCCTTTACATAGCACAGTCAAAAATTATAAGCATTTTTTAGAGTCAATTTCTTCCATTAAAAAAATAAAATGTTGGTTAACCAATGCAAAGAGTTCTAAGAGAATTTAGTTCTGCACCCCTCCCCCTCTGCCTAAATTCTTTCATGCACACACAAATCCAAAAATATGACCCCAAGCAAAGATGATACATGAGAACACTGCTGTCTTCCTGGCTTTCCATGTATCCCTAGAAGGAAAGGTAATCCAACTTAATCCAGTCCAAAAGCAAAATCCACACCCACCTAAATTGGTCACCCCAGGGCACAATCTGGCCTGTCAGAAGCTTCCGGTCCCAACCCTGGTCCTGCCTGCAGATACTTACCAAACTCACAATAGAGGCAGAGGCAGAGGCAGGAGCTTCTAGTGGTGTATGAGGTGAGCATACACCAGTGCACCTTTATACTATTCCTCCTACCTAGCCTCCTGATTGGGTTGGAATTGAGGAACCGGTTCCACCACTCAAGTTGGTCAGCCCCTTTATGATTCATTATGGACATTTGAAGCACTGAGGCCCTCAGGGGCCTTTTCCTTAGCTCTTGCATGGTCAGAGGATTCTGAGGGCTCAGTTACTTCTGTGATTCCCTCTGACCAGGGTACAAGGGAGGTGAGGAAGACAGCTTATTATTTTGTGACTTCAGCTGGACTTCTAAGAATATCACTGTATCTACCTGTGCAATGGATACATTCTCTTTATTAGAGTGACAGCTTGACTTTTAAGGTTATTAAATAAGAAATTAGGTATTTTTGAAGATGAGAAGAGTTATTTCTCCTGAAGAGATGGGATTAGGTCAGGAGCTTGTCCTCTCTCCTATTTATTCTTTGGGAGAAATAAACTCTGTCTTGAGAAAGGTCTGGCTTTAGGCCATCTAGAGATCACAGAAGTCTTCTGCCATGTGCCCTGCTACATGCCAGGGGTTTTACAGTCCCCCAACCTTGTGTTTGCAGAAGTTCCCAAAAAAGACATGCTCATAAAAACTCCAAAGCCTGTAGCATTATAGACAAAAAGAACTGAATAGAGACAATATTTAATGGTGAGTACGTATTTATATAATAAAACATTTTCTATCATTATTTTTTTGACAAGCATAGAAACACAATGATCATATCATCCACTGCCTTCTCTAAACCATTTTTTAAAAATTAGCTTAAGAAATCTGAGTAGAAATTTGAGGACAATAGTGAAAGAATAAAGTCTAAATTCACTGGCAGGGCCTAAAAGACCTCAGGATGCTTGATTCCTCCTTTTTGCCAAGTACCAATGCATGCCAATCTTTCCTTGGTAGGTTCTCTCCTACCTTTCTGAGCATTTTTAGTTCCTAGGACAGATGTCTACTTCCCTCTAGGGCTGGGCACCTGTTTGCTTTCTGTAAGTATGATCCTCCCGAAGGCCCACATTCTGATGGGCTTTTGAGCTAAATGTAGGGATTAGCTAAACGCCTTCTCAGACTACCTTAGTTGAAGGATTCCTTCTGGTTTACTTTATTTATTTAACAGAACTCTAGAGTTATTTTATATGTATTCATTCTCTTGTTTATTCATAAGGGCAGGGGTATCCCTGATATGTTTTCTACTATGTTCCTAAAATCTGTCAAAATCTATTCTATGCATCAAGGACTCAATCCATAGTGCATGAAGGAACGAATGACCGGTGAATCTCATTGCATAAAGGTAATTACTAACATTTAATGCTAAAATGTATTTGTGTGTAAAACTAAAACTGAATTGTGACTTGTCTTTCTTTTGAATGCTTGTTTAGCAGCTTATTTTATGGACATCATACATTTAAGTTCTTTTCTTTGCAACCTGATCAAAAAATATATTAGAGTGATGTGACAAGAATACTTATTTTTGGAGCTAATTTTGATAAGTAACCTAATTTCTCACAGTTATCCTGACAGGCACCACCTCCAAAATTCCAAGTTGATCTATTTACAGTATTAATTTTGCCATGTTTTTAGGGTTCAGGTTGGAAAAGCAGATGGCGGAGGTCTCACAAAGATTGACTAGTCTCTGGGAAGCTAACCTTTCCTCGTACTCTATTTCTTGAACCCCACTCAAAGGTCTTACATTGCCTTGACTGGGGTAGAGAAAATGCTTTCTATAGCTTCATAAGACCTATTATCATGTGGACGTAGATTCCCTGTGCTCTGCAGCTGAGCTCACATGGGAGGAATCTGCCTCTCCCTCTCCTCAGCCTGTGACCATCAGTGCCAGAGCAGCAGACCTTGCTCAAGGAAATCACATGAGTCTTGTGGCTTTCTAGAAGCTGCGTATCTGCTTTATCTTCCTTCCACCCTCTGATTCACAGCATAATGAGAGCTTTGAGAAGATGGTGTGTGTGAGCATTTGATCAACAAGCAAATCCAGGGGTGTGTGTGTGTGTGTGTGTGTGTGTGTGTGTGTGTGTGTGTGAAGATCCAGCCGTTTATGGCTTACAGGGCCCATATTATGCCCTTAGGTTGCCCTATTTAGGAACTGGGAATGCATAATAGGGGAAAGATTGTTTCTGTACTTTATGAATGACATCATAGGCCACAAAAGGCGTCCAAATAACTGTCCAGCTTTTATCCAGCATAATGAAAGTGAGCTCATATCCCATGACACATGGTGAAGACTTGACCCAAATCTGCCCCAATGCAAGGAGGCCTTGGCTATTTTTCTTCCAGAGGCAGAAAATGGCTGATCTCTTTCTTCACCTGTCTTTCTGTCTGTCTGTCTCTCTCCCCGCTCTGTGTATGTGTCTCCCTCTATGTCTCTCTTTCTCTGTCTCTGTCTCTCTTGTCTCCTGAATGAAACAACCTAGCTAGAGTTGCTTAGTCTTTGGGGTAGTGGGTGGGGGTATTGCTTAAGACAATTCACTGCCTTTGAGGGATAGAGATGATAAGAAGAACTCTTAGCAAGTTGCTACAGTGGAGTGATGGCGGATGGTACTGGCAAGGCAATGTGAACCAGTAAATCCCACATTTCTATCTTGAATAGTCATGTCTGATGTGGCACGTCTTGACACCTGAGCTCTTAACCTCCTCTCCTTTGCCAAGAGCTGCCTCCTTTCCACAAGACATTGTCTCCAACACCATCCCTCAGTTTACAATGAGCACTGTTAGCCTCTCAACATACCTTGAATATTCCATGTCTTCTTTCACTGCCACCTAAACCTAAAGTTGGCTCCTCATTTACCTACTCAGAACATCCGCTGTTCAGAAAAGAATAAGGCAAAGACCAAGAATGAGCCCCCCAAAAATAATTATTCCTCTCTTGGCTTCTACATAGACCCGTCTGATTTCATTTGTTTGCTTCTCTCACATCTTCCTCCTCGTTTCCCTCCTTTCTTTGATTACTAGTTCTGACTTTCCATCTCTAGGGCTAGTGCTTTCTCTTGGATCCAGAAGCTGTGAGAAGAGAGTCGCAGTTTTGTTCTTGATAGCAGCAAGCAACAGCAAAAAATGATCTCAAGAAGATAAAAAAGGAAGATAGTATACCCTTCTCCAGCTAAAAGGAAAGCTTTTTGCCTTGGGCTCATTGTCGAAGAAATCGCATTCTTTGTAATTGATTCTCTGTACAAGAAGACAATAATGTCTGAGATAGATGGGTTCTTAGAGAATGCATAGAAAATGTGCCTTGCTGTGCCATGAACATAAGAGATTCTCTAAATAATTAATATAATAATAATTGAGAGCTGAGGATGTAGCAGCTTAGTGGTACAATGCTTAGCTAATGTCTGGGTTTGATTTCCAACCATAAAAAAGTTGATAATTTTAATTCAACATATTTAAATTAATAAAGAACAGGAAGCAGATTAGAGGTTGCTAGAATCAGTGCAAGGGAAACCAACTGCCTAATAGGTGCAGAGTTTCTTTTGGGGTGATGACAATGTTATGACTTTAGAGTTGATGGTTGTGCAATACCTGGATGTACTAAATGTCATTGAATTATTCATTTTAAAATGGTTGATTTTATTTTGAGTGAATTTTCAATTGGAACAAAGAAGTAACAGCCTTGCCTAAAAGCAAGTCATGATGTAAAGTTGTTATTATGGTTGGTGCATTCATTCAGTCAGTGTTTATTTATTGACTGCCTACTATATGCAAGGCAATGGAGATAAATAAGTGATGACTATAAAACAGTATCTGCCTTTAAAAAGTTCAGAGTCTAGTCCTCTCCACTGGAGTTTGTCCCCTTTTCTGACAAATAGGAATTAAAGCCTAGAGAAAGGTCATGAGTTACCCACGAGCCGAGCCTATAGTAAGTGTGAAGCAAAGTGGGGCTGACCCCCAGGTGTACTGACCTCCAGTCTGGGGTTATCTTCCCTCATCGAGTGCTCCATCAGGTGTTGAAACATCTGATGCCTGTGACAGGTTGCAAGACATGACTTCAAAGACATTTTCCAACTCTGTAAGTCATTCACCCTAACATGATTAGTTCTGGGTTTTCTGGAGGAAGCATATTTTCTCACTTGTTCAGCCAAAAAAAAAAAAAAAAACTTTCAGTGAGCCTTAATCCCCCTGGGAATAGAGATCTACATTCCATCTGGTTCTGGTCTTTGTTTCAGCCTACCCCACTATAGAGGAGGATTACTGTTCAGGGCTGGGCCATGGCACGGGAGTCAGATGGGGCTGAGTTTGAATTGCACTTTCACACTTTACTGCTTGGAAATTCTACCTCTATGAGCTTCAGGTCCCTTGGTAAAAAGATACAGAGGTTTCTTTAGGTCTATGTGACGGTTTGATGAAGTAATATATGAGCTTAGTACATAGTTTGCACCCAAGAAATTGGCTTATTGTTGGCAGTCATGGCAAATGTTTGCTAATAAAATGTAGCATGGCATCTGCCTAAAGAAAGGTTATGAGATTTCCAAAGATTTTTTTTTTCCAGTGAAAAACACAAGCTCCAAAGTCACACAGTATATAGAAGCAGAGATGGGTAGATGCCAGGTCATCTGCCTCTCTGCTCCTCTACTCTGCCTGCTACTGAGCCTCAGGTGACACTTGGCCCAGCACGGGAGACTGCAATTTCCTGTGCTCAGATGTGTGCCCTCATGGTGGCCTCACAGAGAAATTAGAGTTGGTTTGCACTCCTAGAGCACAGGGGAGTTTCAGGACCCTTGGGTCCTGTGTGTGTTGGGTGAAAGATGGCAGTTTGGATGGAATTTGACACAGAAAAGAAATCCAGGTAACACAGAGGGGTGTACATAGAGTTCCAGCACACTGAATCAGAAACAGTTGGAAAAGGTGCTCCAGACCACAAAAAGTGGGAAAGATTGGTGAAGAACCATGCAGAATAAGTCTTCTCTGGGATCTGTGCAAGGGTGGAAAGGCAGGGGCAGGACAAGCGCAGTGTAGCAGGGGCAGAAAGAAAGACCTC